AGATGAAGCCGCCACCAAGACGTATAGTTATGTTGAGATCCCTTAGAAAATGATATAGTAGTCGTATCAACGTAATCGTTTTCAGATAAACTGCGGATGCACGAATCTCATACAGAACACATAAACATGGCGTGCCACGACGTGAAATATCGTTTGTATTAATTCTGAAATTTCAAATTGTAAAAGTCTCAGAAAAAAATATAAGTTTTTAGCTTATCTTCTGATAGCAAAGCACTTCTATTCGCTTCTCGTTATGAAATAATTAAACTAATATTGAGAGTCTTTATTGTTGCCGCGGAAAATTAGAGATTAAAATTGGAAGTAACCCAAGTAGAAAAACACCGACTCCGATGTTCTCTTCACGATATCAGATTTCGTTAGAACATCCCAGCGGAACGTGGCAAACAACTTACCAACTCTTGATTATCCTTAAAAACGCTTGTCTGGGGAAATCATCTAATAGGCCAGATTTTTTTACGTTTAATAAAATTTTATGTCCTTCTTTCATTAAGATAATTTTATTGACAGGTTTTTTTGTTTTTTACACTTTTACACTTTTTCTAGGGAGCTCTGTTGTTTTTCTTAAAAAGCTCACAAAGACATTGTGTCATACTAATAAATGACGAATAACAGAATTCACAAATTCAGATAAGACTTTAAAAAAATTAGGTATATGTTCTGATCCTGATTTTGATAATTGTAAACAAAATTAATGTTAATGAAAATGAAAATCATATGAAACGTAATAATTGTTATGATAGCCTCTGAGGGAAATTTTGCGACTGCACAGCTTTTAAACGCCAAGGATTTGCACTGTAAAATAATTAAAATTGAAAAGAAAGATTATTGTTTTGTCAATTTTTGAATGAGTTTGACGTCGACCTTTATCGTCTAAAATTTTGAATAGCTCTTGAAGAAATTTTATGAGAAATTGAATTTTTAGAATTTCGACATGTAATTTATGCATTATTTATTTTGTAAGTAAAGGAAATAATAAGAAACTCGACTTAAACTTTTCAAATGCAATAAAAAAACAAAATTACTAAAAATTTAAATATAAAAATTATTACAGTCTGCTTTTTATCATATTTTAAACTTAATCATGCTTATTTTTTTACATAGTTTGTGTGCCACATTTTTCTTCCTATACTTGTCAGAATTAAAACGCATATCAAATACACCAGTTTAATCAATCTATCAAATTAAAAAAAAAAACAAACTTTGTTTTTTATTTTATTAATTTTATTGTCCGTGAGTATTACTTAGGTCTGTAATTAATTTCAGTTTCATACAATTTCCATATTTCTCAGCGAATTTACGAAAATGTCGAAAATCAAAAATTAATTGAGTAATTAGATTACTATACGCAATAATAATTTTGAATTGGAATAAAAGGCACGTGATACAAACGGTCAAAACAAGGGTATTACGTAACAAGAGTTGTAAAGAGCTTATTACGTACAAGTGGATACGTTACGTTACATTCACCTTTTTGAAAAAGTGTAGTAATTTACAAAATAATTTTTTTCCTTCCATTAGGCGACAAAGGATTAAGACAGATACTCGTATCTTATAACTCGGTCTGGTAACTGTGATTTGGGGCGGTCATTATTGTATCGTATAAGACATTGTAAATTTCGAACTGAACCAATTCATACTTTCTGACCACAGAATGGGAAAACTTTGCTGAATGGAAACGGAGAGACATTGTCTATCCCTTACTTAATTCATGGTTTTGATGTCCAAAGTCAGCTGAATCCATTTGCCTCACTCCGTTCGGCAAAATGAACGTTCAGCTTCGCCACATAAACAATCACTTTTACTCTTAATAACATAATCTACTATTTCTGTAGCGTAAAGTGTTTTTTGTTTGGCAAATACGACAAAAAGTCATTAAGAAAAGTTGTTTAGAATCAACCTCCGCCTCCTTAATGAAATATATCGATATCCCGCCTGGGCATTTCGTAAAAAATGCGTTGGAGCAGTGATTCCGAGATTTTTCTTAGTTACAGGGGCTAAGGAAAAACTGAATGATTTTTAATTATTAACGAATAAGAACTCAATCAATAAAAACTTGGAAGGACGGATATAGCAAACAAGATACACAAGGAAGAATTTATTTTATGAGGTTCAATCCTTTAAGCTAAAAAACTGGATGTGTCAAAAAATCTCCTCATATTAAATCACCAACGAGAATCAGTTGAAATAAAAAAATAACCAGGCGAGAAAGGATTATGTCTACCGAGACGGCGATAGAATCAACATCTAGGCTCGAATACCAAACTTCAAAATCATCGACCAACTAATTTTTTTTTATGTTTATTATTAATTTACAAATCAATGAATTTTATTTTTAATTGTTTTTTTTACGAATAAAAATTTGCATTTAGATTTTTAATACTAAATACATTTTTGACGTTTTTGTTAATAAAAATCAATTATCAAAAAAAATAAATAAAAAATTATAGTTGGCTGATGACTTTGAAATATGGTATAGGGACCTAGATGTTGATTCTAAACAACTTTTTTAAATAACTTAAATAAAAGGCATTTCACTTTACAGAAATAGTTTTTTTTGAAAATTGTCTAAACATACTTGATTTTTTTTAACTAAAATGATGTTAGAAGTTAATATTTAACCAAGCAGGGCTGAACTCCAAAAAATAAAAATTCAAATAGAGAATTTGTTGACTTTTATAAGATTTGTTTCACCTATCCGGGGATACATTGTATATTACGTGCATGTGTCAAAAAGGTTCATTACGTGCAAGTGTTTGTAATGTTATAGTTACTAATCACTTACTTGATTTAATCAGAATATCGTTTAACATTGATGAATAAAACTTTTCTAACTTTTCTTCACTTTTTACCAATACTTTTTATCGATAAACAATTTAGCTGTTTGCCATTTAAATATACACAAACGTTCAATTATTTGTTCAGGCATTGTTCAAACAATGTTTTAAAAATAAATTCCATATAAATATGGTTTGCAAATTTTTGTTATGGATTAAAGGGCTGTCAAATACTTGTAATTTTTTTAACTGCTCGTAATGTAACGAGAAGCTGTATTTGTTACATATTTAATGATATATGTATGTATTCCTGTTCCTTCAAATACAATTAAAACTTGTGTGGAAATAACAAAATAAATTAGTTGCATTTAAACACGTTCTAATTAACCCAACAAGTTATTTAGTAACGAAATGGTGTGTTTAAAAGAAAATCAGATAAGTGTGTTAAATTATTAAGATTTATAAACGTTGCGTTTGGCCGTAACATTGGTATGTGACGTTTGTAACATGTTTAGAAGACATAAACTTCACACTTCCGCTACTTTGACGTGCTATTATTACACTCATTTTCAAAAAGTTTCGACATTACCACCTTAATTGTACAATTTCACGAATGACAATAATCCCGACATCGACAGTGTAGTGTGGCGTGCAAGGTGGAATTATTGTTCTTAATTAATTTCCGATAACTGGTAAATGTTTACATTGAGAGCTGGTATAGCACAATTATTATTAGTCAGGTAATTGATTCAGATGTAAATGTGTTAATTAACCGGACGAATCGTCTGCATCTACAGTGTGATTGTTCATCGAAGCTCGATAATGCGGCCTCCAATGATCATCTTCCTCAAATTTATTATATAGACGGCATTTTGTGTTAAAACTAATTGGATTGTCTTGAATCTCGGGATGCAAATGTATTAATTATCCATGTGGATGGCCAGTAGTATGTGGAGTTCTATATCGACCGCTTTTAGGTCTTCAGAGATTCGAACGAACAAGATCGAATCCGGTCAGTTATGTCCGCCACCTACCAGGTAATTGATCTGGTTCTCTGGTAGATATCTGCTCGGTCCGGCATCCAGGGTCCCAGGGAGCCATTCCGCTGATATTCTTACGAAGACGTGTATCAACCTTAACGGCACCTTAGAGGAAAGCTACATTTTCACAGATAAATAAACTATTAAAAGTTTTATTTGAATTCTCGCATTCGACGTCTCGGTTCGAGCTCGTTTTGCAATTGAAACGCCCAACGTTAGAATTACTCGAGGCGAGATATTCTTTTTATATTTGATTTTTCACGGTGATGGGATTTTGCCAGATTCGCCTTACATAGATATCTCTTCTTAATTTAGTATTTAATATAATAGGTACACACTTAACATACCTATTTGCATCGCCGTCTCGATAGAAGTAATCCTTTTCTCGCTTGAGCATTTTTTGAGTTCAACTAATTCCCGTTGGCGCTTTAATCTGGGAGAAATTTTTTGTCACTTTCAGTTTTTAAGCTTAAAGTGTTCATAATATCAATTCTCTCTTGCGTATCTTGTTTTGTTAGACTCTTCCTTCTTAGATTTTATTAGTTGCCTTATTTTTTGTAAATAATGAATAATAATTTTTTTTTTTTTAGTCACTCTTGTAACTAAGGAAAAACTTGGAATCACTGCTTTACGAAATGTTTTTACTTGACCGTTTTGGCATAAAATCGAAAATATATTTTCTTCCCTTTCGTAAACTCAATCTGGGGACACTTAAGACAAAAGTTTCCTATAAACATGTATCGAAAAATAGTATGTGTACTACGTAAGGGAGCAACTTGACAGTTTTAATTTCACTTTCATTTGATCCTGTTACAAACTTCCAAACATATATTCAAGAAGATTTTGCAAAATTAATAAACGAAGTTAGTGTTTTAATCTTTCTATTTTTATGTTTTTTTTTATATTTATTATATTTGAAAAAATATGCATTGTGGACCTAATAAGCTATGAAGACAAATAATAACGTGCGTGTTGACTTTTGAGTAAGAAATGATTGTGCGTGTTCTTTGTGATTATATGTCATTTAGTTGAAATTAAATATTTCTTTATTAGTGAAACTTTTGAGCTAAAATAACTTATCAAATATGCTTAATTTAATTTTCTGGCATTGATATAAATAAAAGGTTGGAAAGGTTTAGGTGTAATGATGATTTTATTGTTTCAGATTGAAGATGCAATGCTAATGTTCGATAAGCAAACGAATCGACATAGGGGTAAGTTAAAAATTCTTTTAATTATTATTTTTTTTAATATAAAGTGAAATATGAGAAACGCCATTTGAATCGAATCGATGGTTGTTTTCGGGCATTAGCGGAAATCAACAGTCGCGACTCGAAACTGGAAAACAAATAAATACAATTTGCAATTTGGAGGAAAGTTCGTGAAAGTTAGGGGGAGGTAAGGTGAAGTGATTCCGGCTAATGCTGGCGAAGATGCGGGAAAGTTGGTCGACAAACTTGGCCATTTCCCGTCGTCTGTCGCTATACGAAAATGTCACCGTGATCACTACTGACGTAAATGTTATCTAACATTGCAAAGATCGTTTCAATTATTGAAATGCATTCTTCCAACTTTTATCCCAAGTTTCACAAGATATAGAAGTAAGGTCTTGCTCACTCCATTATCCATCCCCCTTCTCTTCGACATACTTTACCATCAAAATCCGACTACAAATATGAAATTGGCGTTCTGCCGCATCCGACATGACATTTTATTTTTGTTTAGCATTGTTCTTGGGAAAGCGCCGGTTTTTTATTTTTCACCGGAATCGACGAAAACAATGCGGCTGTATGAACTGTTTGTCTTGTGACACCGTATGATTGAAGGATGGGGAAAAAAAGGTTAATTAAGTGTTGAAAATAACCCATCCAAGGTGCACACGTATTGATGGATTGTGTGCGCGGATCGCAAAATTTTCGCCGCCAACAAACTATTTTTATGTTTATTAATTAATCACGCGGCGCGGAGTCGAAAGATCCGATCATTTATCAAGCGCTCTTGTCGTCCATAAAACCTGTTTTTATTAACAATCCGATATTTCCGTTGATTGGATCAAAGAGAAGAGAGGGCATAAGAAAGAGTGGGTGAGAAGGGTAGGAAGTGAAAAAAAGAGATGAGGGCGAAGACGGTTTCAGAGGGGATAATATGTATAAGAGAGCAAGATAATTTAACTTCCAGCTAGATAGAAACTGAGAATTTAACTCGGATGAATGAAGAGGATAAGTAGAACAGCAGGGGATAAAGCCCCGGATCAACCGGACTGGTCAAAGTTGCTGCTCTCTATTTCAATCTACAATTCCGCTTCGAAGATATATTGCCGGATTATGGATGGGTGGCGATTGTAATTTTTTATTTCACTTGACCCGCTAAATGTGCGCTCTCCCCGTGCGAACGGCCAAAACTTTTTCGTTACACACGCAAGCCGTAAATTCTGCATATATGACAGCTTGTTATGGTTATTTTTATAACCTCATCTATAAGACAAGTGGCGTTTTCACGGACCATTCTTTTTATATTGACTCCCATAATTAGGGCATTTACCTTCTTTTTTCTCGTCGGACTAATTTGGCAAAGTGGTCAGGATTCGTTTTATTTAAAAATTCACGAGCTGTGGCGCTATTAACCGGGTCGAGGAGTTGAGCACCCGTCTAATGATAGGATATTAGAGTGTGTATAATATCAGGTGGACGCGAAGGCATTAAAGCGATTACCGACGACGCTAATGTAGCGGCATCAGTAATTAAATCGCAGCAGTAGCGCAAGGGTAACGACGACTACCTTCAAATTTTAACGCACGAGTATACAACACTTCGCCATATACCGCAATATCAATGAAATACGGTTCCTAGTCAACCGGAAGTGGGATATCTATCCGCATCCATTACACAACAGATAACAATGGGCCGGTTTAATTCACTTTTGTCTCCGGTTAAACAGTTTCCTTTGTTCGGATTATATTTACGTATATTTGCTCGATTTATGTATCGCCTTAAGCGCCGCCTAGTTCCTACTTTTACTGGAAGGACACCACGTTTATCTTTTTATTAGTGTTAATGGATGGCTGCCTTCAACACTTTTTGCACACTCCATCATTCACCCCACTAATCCAATTTCCGTGAGGCCGCCATTCCCAATGCAAGGAGCCCTCGAAGGATTTTCTTACAGCAGTTATTAGGCAAGCCTTACCTGTGACAGAAACATATCGAATTTATGTAAATGTATACTTATTGTGTAGTACATTTACATTACTGCATCACAAATAAATCGTGACGCCAAGAAATTATTAATATTTTTTTATTACCGTTTGCGCTTTGATTTTGGTGAAATCCTTTGAACTGGCAATAGGCTAAATACATAAAAAAACATAAAGGTTATTTTTTCAATTTTAAACTAAATCGAAATTGATCTAAGTTCAATTAAAAAACAACAAATTTAAAGTTCAAAGTGTTTAAAGTAAAGTTAAATTTTTACTTAATTTTGTTTGATATAGCAATGTATTTGTTGCGCAGTATATTTTGAAACAATTACAATTCATGGGTTATTTCTTCTTTTTGAGTCAAAGGATTAGAGATCTTTTTTGGTTAACACACTTTCAGCTAATTTTAATATCTCATCGCTGTTATTATATTCTGAAAACAGCTGTGGTCCATTAAATTGACTTTTGAGGCTGAGGGATTGCCTAAGGATGGTACTTGAAAGTACCACCACTCATACAGAGCAAGTTTAAAGAGAGTTAGACTTATGTTGTGTTGGTGCTTAGAAGCTCTTATAATAAACATAATTGAGGGCCATTTTTGCTTATACTCATACCTGCTTAACACTCCCTCTATGCTATGCGCTTTGCAATGGGCTGTCGAGGGCACACGAACTTCATTCGTCGCAAAATCTTACCATACAGTAACAGTTATGCCGCTTTATTAAAAAATGATCTCAACTACTGTATGAGTGGTGGTACTTTCGGTACCACCCATGGGCAACCTCTCAGCCTTAAGAGTCCTTTTAACGGACTACATGTAACATTGTTTTTTTGTGTGTAAAATAAGTAGATTTTACAAAGGATTGTTTTCTAACGCATTCAATCCAAATAAAGTGTTCCTGCCTCTGGGGATATTTAATGGCTGGAAAGGTTTTAGTATGTTTGGTTTACATTTACCTCGCTTGTGCGTATTAATACGGCCTAATGTAATTATTTGGTTATTATGAAATCTGCCGAGAACGAATCTGTTTGGACCGACAAAACAACCTTTGGTTTTTACTCAACAAAAAGGTTATAGCGCTACAAAATAAGTTTTACTCATGCTTGAGTTATTGATTGTGGATAATAAAACAAAATATGCTGACATGATAAAACAATTATCAAATTATCTCCTGTTCCTGTTTCTTTCTACCGCACATATCTGCACACTTTTACGAATATTAATGGAAGGAAATAACTAAGTTCTGGAAAGCACGCGAAACTTCGTAAATACGCTGTTCATTAATTTTACTGTCTAGGACAAGAACTGTAACACGCACACGTTATGTTTTTCTAAATGTAAACAAAAATTTGTTTAAATCTCTTTATGAGAATCACCCGTTATGATGGCGACAGTCACCCTCGCCATATTATATAAGTAATTTCAAAGGGCACTTTAGAAATACTTAGGTATATTTACTGGATATAGATATAAAAAAGTGTGGAATATTTTTTTGCTTTCACTTACTTATTAATTATTTTCTTCAATTTTACGCGGCACGACACTGGTTAGAAAAATAAAAATCCTTTCTAAAAATGGAGTTTGTTTCCCTAAACGATGATTGTAGTTTCTTTTCAAAAGATGAATACAGTGTGGTCCTGATGGAACCTGCCAAAGAAAATCTCGTAATAGGTATGAGTAGAACTCAAACACAAAAAATTTTTCTAATAAAAGTCTTCATTTTCGAGATAAATTTCGGTAAATGTAATTCTGGTTGCTTTGCAACAATAATTTCAATTTCTTTAGCAACGGTATCTATAACACCTATGGCACTTTGTCAAATTTGATTTTGGATTTACTAATCGTGCAAAAAGTTGTGAAATTTACAAAGCTGTCGAAAAACTAGGCTTTAAAGCACAAGTCGGGTTATTAAATAAAACCTCTTAACAGTCCTGTGTGATATACCGACAGCTTAACGATTGTAAATTGTTGAATGTTATTTATACCATAACAACATAGAACGACGAAAATACATTTAACGAAAAGACAGGAGATATAGAGGGTTTTAATAAATCATTGTAATTATGTTTTAGAGGTGTTTCGAAACAAGACAAATATTTCAGGATTTGTAACTTTTGTGAATAGAACGAATCAATAATACTAAACGAAACCACTAGACACTATTTGAAACCTTCAAATTTATTTGGTAAGAATAATAAACTCGCCAGAAGGAAGAAGAAAACTTAAAACCAAGAATTTGTTTCAATTTTTTATTTCAACACCAAAATTAAGTAATAGATTTAAATTCTATAATTCAGTATTGGACGTATGTTAAAGTCTTTGGCAATCTACAAGTTTTGTCCAATTCTGGACACAAAAGATGCCAGATACACTTGCTAAATATACAGGGTGCGCCAGAACTCGCGCCCCTGAGAAAAATGCCATATAAGGTAAGATACCAGGAACATGGAAAAAATGTTAAAAAAATTTTATCTATAAAAATTTCGTTATGGGGTTTAAACTTTGCACTTTGACTTTATTTATTTTTGTTGGAAAAATAATTTTCCAAGTTTTTTTGTTAAAGGCTATTAAAAGAGCAAACAAGAAAGCCGTATTCTAAATTGTAACTCTGTTCAGTGTTATTTGTGGCTTTTATTGGCAAATTTTTTGTCCCTTTACTAAATAATTATAAAAAAATATATACAAGATCATCACTATTCTTAAATAGATATAAAAAAATGTCAAATGTCAAAATTTTTTGACAGATAGAATTTTTTAAACATTTTTTTCATGGTCCTATTATCTTACCTTACTTGAAAATTTTCTCTGGGGCGCGAGTTCTGGCGCACCCTGTACATAGTTATAAAAAGACACGAATATTTTACATTTGACTTAATAGCGCTGCTTTGCTACTGTAACATAACTACATAACTACATAACAAATGATGTTTTTCCCCTGTTGGTGATTTTTTAATTCAGAAAGCTCAATTAAAGTAATACGAGTACGATACTACTGCTTTTGGATGAGTCTGAATGTT